AAATACATTTTAAAATTTTATTTTAATTTTTTTAAAATAAAATTATAAATTTTTAAAAAAATATGTTATTTAATACTTTATTTATTAAAGAATATTAAATAGATAGAATATATGAGAATGATAGCATTAAAAAAATATTATTAATATAACTTTATGTATATCAAAATGTATTATATTTTAAAACGTCAAAGCTCTCCTAAAAATATTATAATTTGAAAGGGAGGAAGTATTTTTGTTTTAGATTTTTTTGGTATTGAATTGCATTATTAATTTTAGTCACTTAAACCGAGATCTCATTATTAATTTTATTGTTATATGTAATTTTAAATAAAATTACATATAACAATAAAATTTATATTAAATACATTTTAAAATTTTATTTTAATTTTTTTAAAATAAAAGTATAAATTTTTAAAAAAATATGTTATTTAATACTTTATTTATTAAAGAATATTAAATAGATAGAATATATGAGAATGATAGCATTAAAAAAATATTATTAATATAACTTTATATATATCAAAATGTATTATATTTTAAAACGTCAAAGCTCTCCTAAAAATATATTATAATTTGAAAGGGAGGAAGTATTTTTGTTTTAGATTTTTTTGGTATTGAATTGCATTATTAATTTTAGTCACTTAAACCGAGATCTCATTATTAATTGATCGACCCAACGTGCGCCGTCGTTTTGCGCAATTGGCGGGGGGAAGCTTAATGTGCCTTCCTGATGAGCAAATTATACATAAACACACGAGTTTGGAATCAACATATACATAGTAGATGTCGTCCTACATACTTCCAGCCCAGGATGCGAAGTTAAGCTCTCTTATAAATTATTCACATATAAAAATTCTCGTATCAAACAATTAAATGTTATATATAAATATTCATAAATTAGAAACTTTATTCATCTATATTATCCAAGGTACCTAATAGATTAAACTATAGGAAGTGGGAGGGACAGATCTAATTGATAGAAAAGAAAAAAATTACATAAAATGATTCAAAAATTTTCTTTGCCCCTCCAAAAAATTTTCAATGGCCTGTTGAAGGAAAAAAAACATTTGCCTACTTGAAAGTTTCACTTATCTTTCTAAAAATTTATTTGACTCAAATTTAACCCACATGTTATAATTTCAAATAATGATATTGCTTGAGAATGAAGGAATAGTAATTTTTTTAAAAAATTTATTTGTTTAAATAAAAAATTTACCACAAAAATCCTCTAACACACAAAAGTGGTTAAATTTTATTTATATTAGATATTTTTATTTAATACACCATTATAATTTTATGCTTTATGCCTTATTCTCTAATAATTATTTCACAAATTTTTTCCTCTAATTTAATTTAATTTAATAAATATTTAAAAATATAACTTTTTTAAAAAATAAATATTTGTAATGAATATAATTTTTACCCCCACTACTTAATTTTTCTTTACTTTAAGCGTTTGTATTTTGAAAAATTGTGAAAAGGACTCTGAGAACTCATTATTTGATTTAAAAGTCTAGTTTAACAGATAATTAGTGAAAAAACTCCTCTAACATGTCAGTGCACCCAAAAAAAAAAAAAAACGTGAACACTTGTTATATTTTTGTAAATATTATATTCTCTGTTCTGCATTGTAATTGTAAGGATGAAATATGTAACATAACTTTATCAAATAATTTTAATAATAGTATTTAGTATTAAAAAATACTCCCTCAATTTAAAAATATAAAGCATTTTTTTAAGAGTTGAATGTTTAAAAATGTAAAGCATTTTTAATTTTTTGAGATGTAATAATTACCTTTTTTTTTTCAAAAATGCACATATTGATAAGGACTTTATATTTATTGTAAAATGTTTAATAGGGATAAATATGAAAAAATAAGGTTAATTTGAAAGTAGATAACTACTTTATTAAAGGTGAAATTCAGTTCAAAATGTCTTATATTTTTTAAGGGATGGAGTAACAAATTTCTATAAATCTAATCATTATCATATCATAATCAAACATCATAGTAGATGGGCCATAAAATTACATCAGAGTATACATTATTATGTTCGTGGGTTTGGAGAGGGTGAAGCCGAGGGAAAAAAGAAAGAAGAAAAATGGTTGACTCGAGCAGACAATTGGGGTTTTTGAATTACTTAACATTCTCAACCTGCACAGTAGGTTTCATTGCCTGTGGGTCAATCTTACCAAACCCATTTTCTCTCTGCTCTTTTTCTTATTTCTTTTTTTTGATGATTTTTTTTCTTTTTTTTATTTTAGTTTAAATAAAAACTATATCTTTTGATATACTCCCTCCAATCCTATTTGTAAAATACATTTAAAAAGTAATTTTTAATTTAAAATGTAAAAAAAAAAATCTGTAATAATTAAGCTACCTTTTTTCCTTTTAATTTTGTCTTTTTTTTATTTGTGTGAAGATATTTAATATACTTTTTTCTTCTCTTTATTTTCTCTCCTACCATTTTTTCTTATTTCAATTTTTTTTTAAGCCCAGCTCACCACAAAATTCAGAAACGTATTATATGTAAAAACTAAAAATCACTTGCCTATTGCTTTGAAAATGACTTATCTGTTGTCATTAGAAGCCCAAGGCCAGAAGCAATAACTGGGCTACATGAACAGTGTTTTGTGCGCATTTCATTCTCATGGGCTCTGTGGGATTGTTTTATAAGATATATTGATGTTGAGGTTGAGAATTAAGCATGTATTGATTGTTGTGCATTAGGTTGATCTCTTCTTGAACACGCAATATTCACACGCACACTCACGCAACAAATGACGTCATTATATTTGCTTAAGCTTCGTTGTCTATGGAAAATAAGGGGAAAACAAAATTAAACACATGAACCACCCCGACCGAGTTGGTGAATCTGACGTGAGAGTGAGAGCTACAATGCAAAACAGTAGATGGGAAAAAGGCAAAAATGTATATGGATGATCCAAATTTACGGATGATCTATATTTAAATCTCCCCAGTTTGAACAATTCAAGTTTAATATAGATGATTTATATTTATAAAAATATTTAATAGATCTCATCAGCAATTTGAACAGTTCAAGATTTAATATAAATGATTTAAATTTATAAAAAAAATTAATAAATATGATCACCAATCTAAATAATTTAGGTTTAATATGAATCATTTGAATTTAATATTAAAAATTTATAAAAATTATAAAAAAAATTTAATATTAAATCTGCAAAATTCATCTAAATAGTCAATTGATAAAAATTATAAAAAATTTAGGCATTAATTTTGGATCCTGAACCATTAAGACCAATGTTCAGATTTATTCCAGAATTTTTAACATTTTTATATTTTAATAAATATAAAATAAAAATAAAAATACAAACATTAAATCTGACCCGTCCAAATACGGTCCAGATTTTCTCCGAAATACAGCGGAGCCGTGGAGGCTTGGGAGGTAAAAGGAGCAAAGCCAAGTCCATGATCCTGTGGGTGTGTGTGTGGGGTTGGAGAGAGAGAAGCTGAGGGGAAAAAGAAAGAAGAAAAGTGGTTGACTCGATCGCACAAGGGCTTTTAAATTACTTAACATCTTCATTGCCTGTGGGTCAACTTTACCAAACTCATTTTCCCTCTGCTCTTTTTTTTTTTAATTTTTTTAGGGCAATTTTTTTCATGTTTTTTTTATTTTAATTTAAATAAAAACTATTCCCTCTGTTTAAAAATATAAGATTTTTTTTAAAAAATTAGATTTTCAAAAATATAAAACATTTTTAATCTTTCAAAATATAATTATTGCTTTTTTTTCAAAAGTGCTCATATTAATAATAACTTTATTTTTATTATAGGGTGTTAGGGGTAAATATGAAAAGATAGAATTAGTTAAAAAATAGGTAACTAATTTATTGAAATGTGATATTCGATTAACAATATCTTATATTTTAAACGGAGGAAGTATATCTTTTTGGTATAATCCTTCGGTCCTATTTATAAAATACATTTTAAAAATAACTTTTGATTTAAAATATAAGATATTTTATAATAATTATACTACTTTTTTTAATTTTACACTTCCTTAATTAGCATAAATGTATTTAATATACTTGTATTATTATTTAAATTTAAAGGTAAAAATAAAAGTGCATATCATGTTTTTATGAAATAAAAAAATAATTTTTTTAAAGATGTATAAAATGGTTAAAAGGCTTTTACAAGAAAAATAAGAAGTAGTATATTGCTAATAATAAATCTTTTCTCTAATTGTGGTCTTTTCATCTTAAATAATTAATTCATTATTGTTTTGGCTACCACCACAGGAGTTGCTCAAGTAATTGAGCACAATTAATATACGACAACTCGATTGAATCAATGTACAATTAAATTAAAATAAGTTTAAAATATAGTAGCATAAAAGTTACAAGTGAAATATTTTATCCAAAAAAAAGTTACAATTAAAATATACATATTCAGGCCACCTAACGTTCGTCTGGTCTTGCATGCTTTGTCCACTTGTCAGTTAATGTTGTACAACGACGTAGTCATAATCCAATAATTCAATATCGGCGAAGGAAAACAAGCTGGACGCACAAACCTTAAATATCCATCCAATCATATGTATAAATTACTTGTAATATTTTTATTGAAACAAAGAACAATATTCAATATCATTATCTCTAATTAAAAATTTAACAATTTTTTAACTTACTCTTATCAAATATATATATTTTAAAAATAAAATACTCTATCAAGTAAGTGTGACACAAATAATAGCAATTTAGATCCTTTAAATATCATTCTAGAGTTATTATTCTTGAAGGTGCATATGAATACTATTGTTTGGGAGAGGATAACACCTCAAATGAAGCTCAGATTTTCTCAAAAGATTAGTTTCATGCTTATAAATAGGAACAAAATGAGTACTCTTTCATGTAAACATGACCTGAGGAATAGTAAGCGTGGCTATACCAGCTCTTCTTGGGAGGCTGTTAGATAGAATTCTCATATTTCCCAACGTACTTTCTAGCTGGCCATTAATGCCATTTCATATTCTGTAGTCTGTACATATATCTATGTACTCCTCCTTAGCCACAACCTTCTCAAACTTGCATCGTCCCAATTCCACTCATACTACTACGCACAAACACTCTCAACTCCTCGTTTCAACATGGGAAGCCTCTCGGTACCAATCTCTCTCTCTCTCACAATCTATAACGTATTTCTGAATCAATATGGCTAGCTGTTTAGTTGCTTTGCGTGTTTAGCATTACAATGTGAAAGCTTGCAAGCGTATCTTTCTTGAATCAGCATTTTGTAGAAGTAGAATTCCATGTTATATCATTTACAGTACATCATATTTCCCTACCCTGTGGGACGGATCACGTGCGTTTCAGTTTTCTTCTGGGTGGATTATTTTTTAATTTTCATATAAAAGGCTCTCAAAATTCTCTCTTCAAATAAGTTGAGATTTTAGGTTTCAACGGCTCTGAATACTGAACAACATGAATTCGCTAATCAAATTACTTATAAACATAAATCTTCTTTATTGGTGGATGAAAGAATATTATAAATTATAAATAAATAATATATTGAAAAAGAGTCAGGTTAAAGTTTTACCAAATCCAGACAAAGTAAAATCTACATAATTAACCACACAAGATTAAACTACCAGAGTCCTTTCTATGGTGCACAACTAGAGGTGAGAATATGAACCAACCCGACCCATATAAATTGAGAAAAATATGAATTAAATTGAGTTTAACATGTTTTTATATGAGTTTGACCCAACTCTTGAGGGCTTATTTCGTTGAAGGGGAGCCTCTCCTCTCCCTTTTTCTCATCCAAACAAGGGGAGGGGAAGGGTTCATTCAGTAAAGTGGAGGAAAGGAAAAATTTTATAAAATTTTCCCTCCCCTCCCCTCCAAAACCTCCCCCCAAATTGGGGGGTTCCTCCCTTCACCTCCCCTCTTTTTTCCTTTCCTCCAACCAAATATAATTCGAGGATTGGTGGATTAAATGCATTAACCTACCAACTCATTTATTATTTTTTATAATTTTTTTTTTTTTAAAATACACTTAAATAATAAGTTTCAATTTGATATTCCTTTATAATTCATTCTAAATATATCAAAATAGTAATTTATAATATTTGTATAAAATATATAAATTGATCTAACTAAGTAAGTCATGGCTAATGTGGTTTATATCTACAAAATTTTTCATGTTTTCTTTTTTTATTTTTTTAAAAATAATATGGGTTAAACAGACTAACTCTAACTTATCAGGATTAAGCCATATGATTTACAAGTTATATGTTCCAGACCAAAAAATTCTGTTTTTATTTGGATTAATTTTTTTCTAACCCAACCCGACCTTCACAATTATTTGGTCCAACCTACATAATCTAATCTATATTCCTGACTCTATGCACAACATATACACTGACGGGAGAAAGAGAGGATTGGAAGAGGGAAACGAACACTGAAAGTAGGGAGCTTGCGTTAGAGTGTTTCTTTTTAAGCCACCTACTTCATTTAGCCACCCGCCGCGAAAAAGAAAAATCCAATTCTCATAATTCACCTCGTAATGGAGGGAATAATTTTACCACGGGGAATGACTACCTATTTTGAAACCAATCAAGAATCAATTCGCCATTAATCTTGATTTCCGGTCAACTGTTATTAATCTAGAATACGTCAAATTTTCACTGACTGCTCCTACATATCCATCAAGGGTGGATCAGTAAATTTCAACAGTTGACTTCTTTATTACTTGCTTGCTTTGAGTACTTGTTGCTCAACTACTTGGCTCTGACGTTGAATCTAATCTTGTGTTGTGTTTGTGGAAATGAATGAATGTCATGAAATAATTAGTTGGAGACGTCAAATTTACAAAGTAGAAGTGGTGGAGTTGTGAGCAACCCCACACTTCTATGCACTCCACTTGTGGGAACCACAGTAGATCAAATGCTTGTTGATATGCACAGGGCCAAGGAGATTGGCTCTGATATTGTTGAGATTCGCCTTGATTGCTTGAGAAGCATCAATCCAGCATCAGATCTTCAAACCCTCATTAAGCAAAGTCCTTTGCCCACTCTTGTCACTTACAGGTGCATATTCACCGTACTCACTCTTAAGATTTAAAAATAGCTAGTTCCTATTGACATTTCAAATGATGGTTATGCACTTTTTCAGACCTATTTGGGAAGGTGGTCAATATGAAGGAGATGAAACCAAGAGACAGAATGCTCTTCGTCTAGCCATGGAATTTGGAGCTGATTATATTGATGTTGAACTTCAGGTAGGCCCTGCAATTAAAAAAAAAAAGGTGGATTATATATTTCTAGATATATATATATATATATATGCAATTAATATGATTGTCATCACCTTGTACATAGGTTGCTCATGACTTCATCAGTTCTATACATGGAAAGAGGCCAGACAATTTCAAGGTGATAGTTTCTTCACACAACTTCCATAACACTCCATCATCTGAGACCATTGGGAATCTGATAGCAAGCATTCAAGCTACTGGAGCTGACATTGCCAAGATTGTGACCACTGCATTGGACATTACAGATTGTACTCGAATTTTTCAGATAACTGTACATTCTCATGTAAGTTAGTAGTTATACACATACACAAGGAATCATGAGTATGCAGTGGTTTCCTTAAGGATTTTCCAATGACAAAGTTGTAAAGTTTTGCAGATCCCAATAATAGGAATAGTTATGGGGGAAAGGGGATTGATTTCACGGCTACTCAGCCCCAAGTTCGGTGGCTATCTCACCTACGCCGCACTTGAGGCCGGCGCAATCTCAGCTCCTGGGCAACCAACGGCCAAAGACTTGTTGGATCTGTACAATTTTAGGCTTATAAGACCAGACACTAAAGTGTATGGAATTATAGGAAAGCCAGTAGGTCACAGCAAGAGTCCTCTTTTGTTCAATGCAGCATTCAAGTCTGTCGGCCTTAATGCAGTTTATATGCATTTTTTGGTAGATGATGTGGAGAAATTTTTCAATACCTACTCTTCTCCAGATTTTGCCTCTGGATGCAGGTACTAAATTGATAACTTTGATGCCAAACAATATCATGAATCTTAAAAAGTATAACTAAGTTCATGCAACTTATATTGAGAAATGCAGTTGCACAATTCCACATAAGGAGGCTGCACTTAAATGCATGGATGAGATTGATCCTATTGCCAAGGTACCTGAATTTATTTATTAATATATTTAATTACTCACAAGAATATCAATTGAACCTCTACTTGATACATAATTTTTGTGCAGAAAATAGGAGCAATCAATAACATTGTAAGGAGACCAGATGGGAAATTGATAGCTTTCAATACAGATTACATTGGTGCTATCACTGCTATTGAGGATGGATTAAGAGGTATTTAACTTACTTGTTGAGGTTGGAGGATATTCTGTAATTTATTGAGTGATCATGGTTTATGAGATTGGTGTGTCCTCTTTATTTTACAGATTTGAACGGTGCAACACCTGGCGGCGCATCGCCTCTCGCCGGGAAGCTGTTTGTTGTAATGGGAGCCGGTGGAGCTGGCAAGTCACTGGCCTATGGAGCTGCACAGAAGGGAGCAAGAGTTGTAGTTGCTAACCGCACATTTGGTAAAATATTGAACTTATCACACAGTAATGTTACTCATATAAAGTATGAAACCTAGTACTTGTGGGATACACACACATATCAACGAGCGTTTGGATTCTAATGGACACACATCCACATATATATATATACTTGTGGGAACTCACTGAGTCATCATCACCGCAGAAAGAGCTGTAGATTTAGCAGCAAAAGTTGGAGGAAAAGCAATTCCTCTGAGTGAAGTTGGAGAGTTTCATCCAGAAGAAGGGATGGTGTTAGCAAATGCAACTTCTGTGGGGATGAAGCCTAAAGTTGATGACACTCCCATTCCAAAGGTGTATTAATAATTTGATGTACCATCAATTGATTAATTAATGGGGAATTATTAATGAAGACGTCAATTAAATCCAAAAGGTTAATTTAATGATAGTTTTATCGTAAAAAACTTTTGCTGAAAATAAGTTATGAATATTGATTCAAACAAATTGTCTCAATTACAAATTATTGTCCAAGTGACCTATAAAACTTGAATATTTTATTTACAACTGAGACTCATATATTCATAGCAGTATAACTTGTTATTTATAAAACTCATAATTGTCATTTTTCAGCGAAAAAAAAAAGAATCTAACTGTCATTAGATTAATTTTTTAAGACTTATAACTGTCACTCCCCATTAATTAATTAATTAATTTTAATAAATCAATTAATTATTCACATGTGGGTGTATTGAAATTTTCAGCATGCTTTAAGGCATTACTGCTTGGTGTTTGATGCGATATACACGCCAAAGGACACGAGACTGTTGCGGGAAGCAAAGGAAACCGGCGCTGCAATTGTGTATGGTACAGAGATGTTGATCCGTCAAGGCTTCGAACAGTACAAAAACTTCACTGGTTTGCCTGGTAATATACAACTAACTTCACTTAATTAATAATTTAGAGGAAAAATTACAGTTAGGACCCAAAAGAGTGAATTGATGACAATTAAGTCTTAATAATTTTTTTAATGAGTGGCAAATACCAATTCAAACAACTATAAATTTGGGAATCTCAATCATAAATAACAGATACTCCCTATGATTCCTATTATAAGATGCATTTTAGAAGAATTCTTTATCTTTAATAAAAGGCATTTGAATGGATATTAATTATGTTTTTACGATATTATCTCTATTTATACTCATTAATTATAAGAGAAAATGTTGAAAGATTTTTCATTTAAATAAGGGTGAAATTAGAAGTTTATTTTATTTTTAAATGAAGTTATTAATAACTTAATACCACTACCTCTCCTCAGTTATGGTGAGATAGTTAGATTAGCCTTATACTAGAAACGGGAGGAAGTATAATTTTTAAATGTGACTTAGTTTACAATTAATATTAAATTAGAATAAAATTCACTAACTTTCCATCTATTTTACTGTAATTACACAGATATCTCTTTTATTTTTTAAAACCTATATAAGCTTTTCTTGAAATCAAAATTTACATAACATATACCTCCCTTATATTTTAAAGATTCAATTTCCATTTACCCAACCATTAATCAACCGTTAAATAATGTATTTTGGACTAAAATATCCCTCTTCAATATAAATATTGTTCAAGAGTATTTTAAGTTTCCAAATGATAATTATAATGTATAAGCTGACACAAATAATATTGAATATAAATAAAATTATTTATGTAGTATATAATTTTAAGATTCATTTATATAAACTTATTTATATAGTAAGAGAAATAAATTAATTAATATATTCATTTATTTTCTTAATTTTAATATTTTGTAATTTTTTTATGAAAATATAACCATAATATTATTTAAAATTGGAGAGAGGGAAGACATTAGATTATGAGGGCTGATTAATAATTTTAATATTTTTTCAAATATTTTAATTAATATAATAAAGTATTTTAGAATCTTAAATGAAATACTTCTAAAAGCATTAAGAAATGGACTAAAATGTAGTTTTTGAAAATAAAGAGAAAACTCTATAATTTTAATAAACTTGAAGGGAAGTCATTATATTTTACTCTTAAAACTACTATTTTCAATGGTCTAAATCCATATTTGAAATCATTTTTGTAAATAAAACCTAATTATTCTTATTTCTCTTTTTGGGTCCTAACTGGCTAACTCTCATTCTCTCAATTATCTATTTATTGTGATAAATTAATTAATGAGAAGCCATATTATACTAATTACTTGTGTGTTCCAACGTAATTCTTCAATTTTTTCAGCACCCCAAGAATTGTTCAGACAGCTGATGGAGAAACATGCCTGATGATCAAGGGGTTAACGTCAGCTCAATGATCTGAAAAATTTCTGTGGTGGTGTGGATGTCTAAATGCAACAATAATACTTAATGTTATAAACTTGTATTTCTTTTGGCCAAAACCGAGTCAATTTTATTTTGTCTTTATTATGTGATTTAGTCAACCAGACCTCTGAGTTTGTGTGTGCGTGTGTGTTGAGATTTAGAAATGACATTTTCTATCTTTAGCCAGCGAGCTCATATTTTCCAAAAATAGCCTCAATTAATTAATTTAAGTGCCTACTCTCACAACTACAAAAGTAATCATAAAAAACAATTATTTTAGTTCATAAATTATAGTTAATAACTTTTATTTATTTGTTTGATATTTAAAGTCTTTCAAATAAATAACGGTTATATAACTATCATTTAAAGTATATATTTTTGGTGTGGATAATGTAAGGGGAGATAATAAATAATGGGTAAAATTGTTAAATAAATCATGATTATTTAGATAACCATCATTTATTATATTTTTTTTTAAAAAATAGGGGGCTATTATTTTTACTAGTTCCCTACAACAACTATTTAAAATACTAGTAGATAACCGTTCCAACATTTATAGATATGAATATCAATAGAATTGTATTTGTGATTAATTGCAAAAATAATCAAAATCTCATTTCTTATTCTAATTTATCAAGTAAACAAATGTATAGTATTTCTAAAGTAAACTAATTTCTAAAGTAAAATAGGTAGTAAAATTATAAACATTAAGCCTTGCCATTTCCTCTAGTTTTATTGATTTTCTTGTTTGTGCGAGGTCTACACTGGAAACATATATTGACACCATTTTTTAATTATTTCATTTATTTTTGTATTCCTAAATTCTTCATTGTAAGAATCATCATAGTATTACAATATATAACTGATCCACCATAAATTAATTTTAATACATTAAATTTATTAGCAATTAAAAAGTGAATATTATTGACATACCATCTTAGAAATTAAGCTCTCATTATGAATAATGATGTCCTTAATAAAGCTCATCACATAGAAGCCACAATCCAAGCTATTTTTCATTTGTCTTGAGCACTACAAATTAAAGAACTGATGAATATGTGTTAATGCATTAAAAAGTTATGAATATTATATTTCAATTCAATAATGATTCTAATTATTGTTATTATATTTCAAGTGAAGGCCGTATTAAAATTTGTAAATAACCTTGTAATTGATCGGTTCATATTTGTGCGGTATAACACAATTGCCTTGATAAAACAGTCAAAAATATGTCAGTATGAAATTTAAATAAAGAAATAAATATATGAAATACTTTTTGCACTTACATATTAATCAACTCTAATAAAATTTGTTGATTTCTTAGTTGCTCTCTAAGAGAATCGAGATAATATATCTTTGGAGTGTTACTAGATGGTTCTGTGGAGATCAACATTCAATGTTCCCTAATAATATTAACAAATGTTCCAAAATTATAATTAATTGATTAAATTAAAAATAAAAAATTCACTAAGATAAGTAAAAAGTATGTTACCCTTGGCTAGAGGTGGGAATATGCCAGATCCTTGATATGCTTTAGCCTACTTTAGGCCCAGCCTAACTTATTTACTAAATAGGCTCAGGCTAGGTTCATGCCTTTAATTAGGCCTATTTAGTTAAATAGGTCAAGTTTATTTTTTAAGGTCTAGCCTATAAGCCTAACAAGCTGACTTATTTACACACACACATATATATTATGTAACATATCACACATCTATTAATTTCACAATTTGATTTTTAATCAATCTATTTTTTTAATTTTTACTTGTAAAGTCCCTACTTAATCTGGACTTTACCATTCTAATCACAAATATCACAATACAATCACAATAACATATCAAAGTAATAGCCCTCAATTCATTTTTAAAATGCGGGATCTTAACTTCATAAAATATATGCTCAAATATGAGGGCTAATGGAAGCGCAAACACAATACAATGACTCCAAGAGGCACAAACATCTTTCCCCCAAAAAAGTGCCATGCACCACGGCTCACACCACCATGCGCCATGGCATGTGATACAAAGCCATGACTCTATTCTTCTCTACTGTCATATGGCATTTCAGAAGATAAACTTCCGTCACGAGCCATTTCCACATCTGATGTTTGATTGGAGTGATTTAAGCACCCACATGAAGTAATTTATCTAATGAGATAAGTTTGGACTTGATTTAACAATCTGATCTAAAATTGAACACCTGGGTGTAAAAAGCTACTTTTTCTTTTAAAACTTGCACCTTAAGTGCTCAATTCTCATTCCTTGTCCCATTAGACCACTTCAGGTCTTGAACCAAGTTTACAAGGACTATATACACATGGTTGGCACTTCTAATCTCATAATTCACATCAATTACTCATATTGACCTCTCAATGTCACATTATATACTTGTGAACTTATATGACACACAATCTATATAACACATATATACATAAACTTATTCTACTTTTAATCATCTGACTCTTACATATGGGCTCTGCCTCACCATATGGTTAGGAATCACAATATAAACAACTCTTTCAAATGGGGCTCAACCTCACCATCTGTGTTAAGTTCTCATATACACATACACAAATCATCACATCAATTCACGTGCACATTCATATATTCATTTCACATACACTTATATATTTTAGTTGGCAACTCAATTATAACAACTTATTATACATTCATTTACATAAATGGTAGTCATACCACTACCAATTGAGGTGACTTTCTCCTTGCTTCCTTTCTCAACCTTCTCGTACTCTCTTCACCTGTGTTTAAAGGTAATGGAGTAAGACTTATGTCCTAGTAACTCGTATATAACCTCAATTATTAGTTAGTAAGCAAAATTATAAATAAAAGATAAAGCAGCATGCAATTCAGTAAAAAATAGTATAGTATGCATATTATACAAGAATTCATTCTCATCAATCTCATCATGCTCATGCTCATGCATTCCTGGTTCCACCAAGTAGAGCAATCTCTATGCTCGGACCAAGACTTGCTACAATATTTCACTCCACTAAACACAATTAACTAATATAACTTATGATAATCAAAGACTTAACTCAAAAAGGTGATTACCAAGTTTTAGTTTAAATTCAAGGGATCTAAATTTTTTAAATAACAATGAATTTGAATCAATTGAAATTATTTATATTAGAGTAAAAATAAGTTTTGAAAGCATGAGATACCTCAAAGGAGTGAAAAAATTCGAAAACAAGTGAAAAAAAACTCTCTTAATATGTGACAGAGCAGCGTGCTGTGGCATGTTACTCTCTGTGTCACGCGCCACAGCTCAGGTGCCATGTGCCAAAAGCCTTTTCTAACGCTTGGACCATGTCCCTTGGATTTGGCGCTACCAATACAACACGTCATATACACTTAAACCACATTATATCAAAATTCACTCTTCAACCCCATTTTACCAAAAACAGAAGGAGAGGTAAATTGTCATTACTTTGCATCCAATTCAATCTAAACATGTTCAAATCATCATTTTTATACTTGTACTAGTATTTTGGCCCTATAAACACACACACACACACACACACATCAACATACACAAATGCTCAGGACTCAAAATATAAATCTAGCATTTGCAATAACATAATAGTGCAAGTGTGATGGCATGCATCCTAAAATTTTTAATCATATATTATTATACAAAATATATCTAAACTAGAAGCATACAGTAGGAATATGCTACTTCCTAGCCTCTTGAGTCTTCTCCCTCTCAGCACCAGAGCTAAAGCTTAAAAAGTGTTAAATGAAGGGATGAGTCTAACCACTTAGTAATTAAGATAAAACCTACCCTATGCAGATATATATCAATCACAAACCAAGTACATGCATAAGAAACCAAGTACGTAAATCATACTCACACATATCATGACTCATCATTTCTTATTTAATAATTTCTTTATCTCACATATACTAGGTGCATTGTCACCATATTCTCATATATGTGACCATAACCTATTATTCATACGACTTGCCACAACTTAACACGTGTGACATGTTATATACTTATCTAGGTAATGATCACAACCTTATATCCTCCTTATTTTCTTAGATTGAAACCGTGAGCTATAATATTGATTAAGGCTCCGTCTGTGTGATTGGACTACCCAAGCTCACCAATTGTGAGGTGTGACCCAGCTAAAGATCACATGACTCACTCTCGGACCACAGCTTCCTCCATTCTTGAATTTCTAGGGTATCTCATACCCTAGACTATTCTCCTCATTGAACTGATGGAAATAGCTAGGTTCTAGTCCCTCAACAAACTATGGGACAGTTCCTTGACAAACTATGGGACAAGGCTATACCCTTGTGTACTAAAAGGCAGCCTTAATATCACATGAATTTTTCTCTAGTCCCAATCTCTAGGCAAACTCTCACCATTGATCATGCTATAATCAATACTTACTTGTTTTTACATTTTCATTTTCATTTGCTCATTAACATAACATAAAGTTGGGCTCACGACCACGCACTATCCAAATGTGTATTCTCATTATTTTCTCAACATTATTCTTACTTGTTTCAAAATCCACTTCTCATTAACACATAATTACCTTTACACAACATCAAATTCATTTTTCAAAAGCATAAACGTGTTTATAGTTCAAAAACCCTCTTGACTTTACATTTTGCATTTCAAGCCAAAAATAACATTATGCACATACAAATTTTCATACATTCCTTGAAACTAATACATGGTTTCACATTGAAAATCAATTCTATATGTGTAACATTCATAATTCACATTTAACAATCAATTAACATATAACTATCCAAAATAGGGTTCCCCTAATTATTTCAAACCTTTGAGAGGTCAAAGATTTTTCCCTTAATATTTTAGATTACAAACTTGAATTTCCAAGTCAAGATAAATGTCCAAGAGCCAAAACTACAATTAATCAAGTTGAATTTTATCAACATTACCAACTCAAGCATTAAACCCTCAATCTTCTACTTTTAAATTGCTCAATGTTCACTCTACATGAGTTAGAACCTATTCATTATGTTCATTATCCCTCTTTAGTCCCCAATAATATTAATGAACCATTAAATTCCCATTAATGGCATCACAATCTTCCAACCACCCCTAATAAATGAAATTTTTAGATATTAATGGTGCCCAACAACCCACGACATAAAAAATTTATTATACTAGGTTTAGATACTCTAATATA